GAACTGTGTTGTGGAAAGAGCAACCTTGCTGTGAACTCTCAGGAATACATTGACTGGATGGAGTCACATGGGCCCAAATGTACAGCTAACTTTGACAAGCCATCAAAAGCCATGGAGGCCCTAAGTGCTGTAGATGTATGGGGAGGTCCACTGAGAAGCACAGTTCGCGTTATGTGGACTTTGTAGGCGATGACAATTACTTTTCTCATCGGGATAGGGTCAAATCAAAGCCTTAGGGAGATGAGGTGGCATTGCGAAGAGTGGAATGTGTGGGCCATATTCAAAAGAGAATGGGAAGAAGGCCGAGAACGAAGAAGAATAAACATGTCGTTTTTGCGGGTATCTACTTCAAATTAAACATAGCTTACTCGCTCAAATTATTAACTACAGATAAATGTCGGAACTGCTTTGAAAACAATGCCTTTCAAAACAATTTTTGAGAATTTGATCATAATTCAACACCTGTTATGAGCACGGTTCTTAATTAAATAAAAGGTAATATTAAATGTTTTGTTTACGTCCTCAGTATCGATACAGTTCTTTCACACAAGATAATATATGTTGGCATATAGCTTGTAGTGTTTAAAAGCACAACCTGTTAATTCGCCAGTAAGGCTGTGTTTCTAAACACAGCCTTAAATAAATCAATTTATCGGGAGTACTTTAGACATAACACTGACTAAGCAGTCGGTCTCAGTTTTTAACAAAAGCGACACTAATCAAAACAAGTACAAGTAGATATTTTTCACCGTACTTTTCATAGCGGCGCCCGTAATTTTCAAAATATTTGAATAGTCAGAAGGAATTTATTTTTTCGTAAATTGACCGACATTCTCTGACAACATTTGAAGAGTTATAATTGTTGTCAGAGAAACAAACATGACCAAATATCATAAACGTGGTAAACTGAATAAGAGACAGCCATTTTATTTGCCCGTAAAGTTTACTAGCGTATTCAAAAGACCAGAATGTCAGAGCAATATTTTGAATAATGTAAAGAGGAATTTATTTTTTCGTAAATTGACCGACATTCTCTGACAACATNCAAAAAATAAAGAGAGTATGGAAGATTGCTGCCAGCTGTCCAAACGAGTAGTTCATCTCCAGCTCTTTCGACATATATGTTTTTCAAAATTTAAATGCATAGAGATCAACGGCTATATATTTCTGGGGGAAGACACTGAAAACGTTCTACTCCCGAATAAAAACGACAAGAACATACAAATATAAAACCACTCTTAAAATCAAGTCCACCAACTGTAAATATTTTTATTTTCAACCAAAAAACACACAAATGTGCATAACTACTCAAAACAAACATAGCTTTCGCGCTCAAATTATTGGCTACAGGTAAATGTCGGAACCGCTTTGAAAACAACGCCTTTCAAAACAATTGTAAGAGAATGTGATTGTAATTCAACACCGGTAAGGCTGTGTTTTTAAACATAGCCTTAAATTAATCAATTTATTTTGAGAACTTTACACGTAACACTGACTAAGCAGTCGGTCTCAGTTTTTAACAAAAACGACAGTAATCAAAACTAATATAAGTAGGTATTTTCACCGCGCTTTTCATAGCGGCGCCCGTAATTTTCAAATATTTTGAATAGTCATTTATTTTTTTCGTAAAATTGACCGACATTCTCTGACAACATTTGAAGAGTTATAAATGTTGTCAGAGAAGCAAACATGACCAAATATCATAAACGTGGAAAACTGAATGAGAGAAAGCCATTTTATTTGCCTGTAAAGTTCACTAGCGTATTCAAAAGAACAGAAACAGCAATATTTTAAATAATGTAAAGAGGTACGTAGCATAAATTGGACATTAAGCCAAA